GAGAGAGAGAGAGAGAGAGAGAGAGAGAGAGAGAGAGAGAGAGAGAGAGAGCGCTACGGTGGGCAGGCCGCATGTGAGGAGGGCAGAGGTGAAGGTGAGGTGGGCAGAGGCGGATGTGAGGTGGGCAGAGGAGCGTAGGTGGAGGCGGGAGCGGAGGAGTGGAGGCAGAGGAGAACTGGTGGTGGAATGCCGAGGGAGAAGTGGGAGAGGAATCCCAAGGGGTGGGGGGAGGCGGAGGGGAGGGGACCGGCGGGCGGAGGTGCAGGCGAGGCGGCCCCCGAGCAGAGAAGAGGTGGGTGGAGGCAGGGAGGAGATGGTGGGCGGTGGCGGAGGGGAGGTGGGCGAAGGTGGAGAGGAGATGGAGGGGGAAGTGGAGGGGAGGTGGGCAGAGGTGGGCGGAGATGGCGGCGGGGTGGGCGCCGGGCGGAGAAGAGGTGGACGGAGACGGAGAGGAGATGGTGGGCGGAGGCCGAGAGGAGATGGTGGCGGTGGTGGAGGGGAGATCGCTGGGGAGGCGGGTGGAGGCGGAAGGTGGGAGCCGGTGGCGAAGTCGAGGTGGGAAGGCGGGAGGGCCTGTTGGACTTCAGTGCAAGGAAAGCACCGCCCTGCAACAAGCCACAGCGCCGCCCTGCAACGGGCCCTGTTTCAAATGGGCGCGCCAATCCGGGCCGCCCGTGGTCCTACCGGCCCGACGGCCCGGATTTCCACGCGATCTTTAAGACTTTAAGACTGCACAACGATCCAGGCCGTCCGGCAAAGCGGACGGTCTGGATCGCCGCGCGATCTTAAAGTCTTAAAGTCTTAAGATCGCACGGAAATCCGGACCGTCGGCCGGTAGACGGCGGGCGGCCCTGATCGGCCAAATCTCACGTACCGAATAACGATTTCTATAAGTGTAGGGACATCTCGCTGAGTGAGGAAAAGGCACCACCCGCCCTAAGCGAAGACAGGCGTGCAAAAACGAGGTCTGGCCTGCGTTCAGGCAATCTGAGCACAGAATGAGGACCCCAAGTGGTTGCTGCACGTTTGCAACATCTTCGAGTAACCCGTAAGCCCAACCCACGAGTTAGTTGAAGATGCTGGGCCTTGTGGAGATTCTGGAAGCTCCAGGGCGCTGGAAACTGGGACAGGGCACATCATGGGGTCACCACCCTCGGCCTCTCCAAACAGCACAAAGAACTGGAGGGCGCCCTGCATTGGACACTCGGGCATTCTCCCAAGGTGGCAGTGCTGCGCGAGCAGCTGCTCCGCAGTTGTGCCCGAGAAGGAAGCTGCAGGGTGGCAGCGAGGTGAGGAAGGAGAAGGGAGAGAGGCAGCAGCCATAGCCGGGCTGCTCGCTACATACCCAGTAGTGGAGTAGTGGAGGTCCTTGGTGGAACAGGAAGTGGGAGAAGGAAGAGTGGCAGTGTGGTATGTGTGTGTGTGTGTGTGTGTGTGTGTGTGTGTGTGTGTGTGTGTGTGTGTGTGTGTG